GTAAAGAGCAAACATTTGTTATTCAAAGAAAGTCTCCAGATTATCTCTGGGCTGTAACAATAACTCCTTAAGGTGTTCAGATGTTGGTGTGTGACATTATATGTGAAAGTGAAGGGAATCAGGACGGTCCTCTGAGCTCTTCTATGTTTTAGTAATCAAGCCTTTTATTCAGATAATTAACTCTGACATTCATTTCAGAAATTTTCTAGGTCAAAAGCACAAACTTACTGCCATCACTTGCACTGATGATGTCACTGTTTTTACCATTTTAGTCATTTAAGTCAAGTCACTTTTCTTATAACACACTTTCACACACCTGACAGGGAGACCAAAGAGCCCAACACAACATAAAATAATCACACAATTCTAAAATAAGATAAAAACTCTAAAATAGGACATAAATACCTGACATAGAAATGTTAAGTGCAAGTTCATCTCAACAAAAAGCTAAAGCAAAGTAAAATGTTTTCAAGCATGACTTCAAGGATGAAGTGTCTAATATCCAAGGGAAGGGCATTCCACAGTGTTGGAGCCACAATGGAAAACGCACGATACCCTCGAGATCTGAGCTTAGCCTGAGGAATGATCAGTAAGTTCTGGTCAGATGAGTGGAGTGACCAAATGGGGACATAATCAGCAAACATATCTCTCACATATCAATCAATCAATCAAAGCTTTATTTATAAAGCGCCTTCCGCAACCCTGTCAGGAAGCCCAAAGCGCTGAACATGGTACAGTTGTAGGTAAATATATTGAATAAATCAACAATAAAAGCAATACAAATCACAAAATAGAAATTACAAGATAGATGAAACATTCTGGTACAGGAAAAATGTGTGAAACGCATTTGGATTGAGTGGATGGATTCAGTGAACCAATGAAAACTGTGAAAAAAATTCAACATAAATGAGGGCCAAAATCAAACATGTTCTGGAAACGCCAAGCGGAGGAGGTGTGTTTTTAGGTGATGCTTAAAGACTGGCAGAGAGGGGGACAGCCTAACTGAGGGTGGCAACTGGTTCCAGAGTAACGGTGCTAGGACTGAGAAAGCCCGGTCCCCGCGAGTACGACACCTAGTACGAGGGACAGCGAGCAGGCCTTGGTCAGAGGAGCGCAGAGCGCGTGATGGGGAGTGTTTGTTCAGGAGAGTGGCCAGATAGGGGGGACCGCCACCCTGGAAGAAATGATAAACAAAGACGAGGATTTTGAATTGTGAGCGATAGCAAATCGGAAGCCAGTGCAGGCAGGCCAGAACCGGACTGATGTGGTCCCGTTTCCTGGTCCCAGTCAGAAACCTGGCTGCGCTGTTCTGCACAACCTGTAGGCGACGCAGTGATGACTGACACAAGCCTGCATATAGAGAGTTGCAGTAGTCAAGCCTAGACATTACAAAGGCATGCAATACCCGCTCCAGGTGGGCTCTCGACAGCATATGCTTGATTTTTGCAAGGCATCTCAGGTGAAAGAAACTGGACCGGGTCACAGAAATTGATGTGAGCATCGAATTTAAGTCCTGCATAAAGTTTCACCCCCAAACTGGTAACAACTGGTTTTGAGTATGGAGAAAGAGGGCCAAGATCAACATAACGATCCACATTCCTGCTGTTGTGGTGAAAAACAATGAGCTCTGTCTTTCCCTCATTCAGATGTAGATAGTTGGCCATTAGCCAAGACTTCACCTCATTAACACAGGACACAAATGACTGGATAGAGTGACCTTTCTCCTGGCACAGTGGAGAGTAAATCTGGCAATCGTCAGCATACAGATGGAATGATAGGCCATGTTTACGAAAGATTGACCCCAGAGGTAGCAGATAAATGGCAAACAAAAGAGGACCAAGGATCGACCCCTGCGGGACCCCCCAGCGGAGCCCCTCCCAAGAAGAAAAAACATCACCCAGTTTAACACAGAATGTCCTGTTGTGGAGATTCTGTGTTAAACTGTGGGAGCAATGTTGTTCAGGGCCTTATAAGCTAGGAGTAAAATTTAGAATTTTATTCTGAACGGTATAGGGGGATGCCAGGACTGTGGTAATATGAGCCCGCCTTGATGTACCCGTTAATTAAAATGCGTGTGACACAGCATCTGGAGTCAAACTCAACCACGACCAAGCTGGATGGGGTTTGAGCCTGATAACACTAAGGTCTGATGAGCTACAATAAAAATGGTACAAGTGCTTCAGATGCTTTCAGTACCAGAGCTGAAATGTGAATTGAGTTTTTAATACATTTAGGTTTAGGAATACACTGGTTATGGTTAGGTCTAGGGTAAGGGTTGCAGTTACTAAAATAAATGGAATTCAATACAAAATCCTAATATGGATAGAAAAATGAATGTGTGTGTGTGTGTGTGTGTGTGTGTGTGTGTGTGTGTGTGTGTGTGTGTGTGTGTGTGTGTGTGTGTGTGTGTGTGTGTGTGTGTGTGTGTGTGTGTGTGTGTTGTGCTTACCTGGGGTTCCTGTTGTTCAGACTCAGTGTGATCTCATTAACACAGCTTGGATGTTTCATCACCTGGTTGAACCCTGACTGAAGATCAAAAAACAAACATCATCACTTGAACTATTATTTTATTTGTTTTGGACCAAAACACAAGAAAAAAATATCTGCTTTTAAATCTTATTGTTTTCTGTGTTGTCTTCATTTAGTAAAAAGTAAAAGAAAAAAAAAGAAAGATTATTCACTGATTTTAATCATTTAATTCGATATTTGTTTAGTTTTTCTAGTTTTGAAACTCATCGTTTTTTTTATAAGGGAGATCTGTTTGTTCTCTAAAACAAATTCACCCAACCAAGACCTGACTGTGAGGCTTTAATGAGCTTCAGTTACCCGGTAGTTCATGATGGCGCGTAAACACATGATGCAGAGATGGACGTCATCTTTCTGACACACTATCTGCGAACCCCTCTGGCCTCTCCTGTTTTGGGAAAAATCAATTCCATCAGCTGAGACACAAAATAAAAACATCTGATCAAAAATGATTTTCACACCAAAAATACCCCCAAATTATTTTTGATTCAAGATAATGTTTATTAATCACATCTAAACGCCATGGTAATCAAAATTATTATTGTCCAACATTCAGAATCCTTAAAACTGTGCTGCAGCCAGAGTTCTGAGGAGAGGAGATCAGATTTTTAGCATTGCTCCATCAGATCCTCGTGGGACTCAAGACAGTCTGTAATACTGTACTCCTAACTTATGAAAGATCAAGCTCCTCCTTTGTCGTTCACAGAACCACTTCACTGTGCTTTCTAGGAGCAAGAACAGCAAAAGCATTAAACACTAAAATCAAAGTGACAACATAAAATATCATACTTTAAAAAACATTTAAATACACAAATAAAAGTAGATGCAAAAAATGAAATAAAAATGAAAAGTTAAGCAGTTACAGTGCAGAAGGTGCAGTTTAACAGACATTCAATCAAAGGCTGATAAATACATGAAAGTTTACAACTTTGATTTAAAAGTTTCTCGAGTTGGGGCACATCTGAGGTCATGAGGAAGCTGACTCCATCTGTGAGCAGCATAGTAGCTAAAAGCAGCTTCACCCTGTTTGGTTCTGACCTGGGGTTCCACCAGCTGACTGTTTCCTAAGGATCTCAGAGCCCCGCTGGTCGTACATACCTGAAGGAGATCTGACATTTGTTCTGGCCCCATGCCATTGAGTGATTGTAAACTAGTAGAAGTACTTTGAAATTGATTCAGTAGTTTACTGGTAACCAGTGTAGAGATTTAAGAACAGGAGGGATGTGCTCGGTTCTCTTGGCTCTTGTTAAGACTCTAGATTGTTTAGGGTTCCTGGCTCATCCCTTTAGTTATGCTGCTCTAAGCTTAGACTGCTGGAGGTCATACTGAGCACATTTTCTCATTTACTGTTGTTGCTGCTATTAACTTTGTTCTCTCTGTTTATCAGAAAAAGGTTTTAGTCAACATTTAGCCCAATTTGCTTGCTCTTTTGTTTAGGAAACATTTGACTGAATGTCATTTAATAATCTAGATTATTTAAATTTATTACAGATGAACTGACCTTTCTGCTAACAGCTGGCCTAAACTTGAACCTGAAATGATGAAAGTGTTATAAATAAAACATAGTATAGATAGAACTCAGCATATATATATATATATATATATATATATATATATATATATATATATATATATATATATATATATATATATATATATATATATATAATTTTGTTATTTTCACTTGTTTTCTGTTGTTTAATTAGGTCATCTAGTTTTCACAGCTCATCCTGTAAATAAAAATAAAAACAGAGTAAAACCAAGCAGCTGTAATGGTAACTTGGAGAAGCAGACTATCCAGACTCCAGCATTCCAACTCCTGTCATGTATGGCTCAACTCAATGGTTGAAAGTTTAACAAATGTCCCAACATCCATACTTTGCAGATGTTGTGACAGCTAGAAAACAAAGCAGCGGGATGAGGGGAATGGCAGACAAGCAAAGTGACGACAGCACGGTTCTCACTAACTCAAAACAGAGTGAGGAGAAGTTGATAGCACCTGAGGGTGAAGCCTTTGTTGGGCCCTTTGTTTGTTGGTGAGTTGTTGCCACTTTTGCACAAATCTTCCACTGAGCGCTCTAAACTTCTGCATTTGTCTGAGGTCGGCGTGCTGTTGTCCCAAGACTCCGAGTCCAACCTGTAAACAACAGCCATGAAAGACACCTGTGACATAAATTAGATAAAACATTCACAATGTCTTTAGGCTGGATCGGTCTAACATAGTCTGATACATACGTGGCAGCACTGTGAGCCATGGAGAGATAATCCACAAGAACATTTAAACCTTGGTTCTCCTCGTTTAGAAACTCCTCAGCCCATCTGTGAGGTGGAAACAGGAAAACAATTAAATGACAATCTAAAACTAAACTAAATGTAATAATTTTTGTTTTATTTAACCACTGGGATTTAAAACCTATTTTCTCTGCTTATTCAGGGTCGGCCTGCAGGGGCAGCAGCTTAAGCAGAGAGACCCAGACTTCCCTCTCCCCAGCTATTTGGGCCAGCTCTTCCGGGGGAATCCCAAGGCATTCCCTGGCCAAGTGAGAGATATAGCCCCTCCAATGTGTCCTGGGTCTTGCTTTGGGTCTCCTCCCGATTGGACATGCCTGAAAAACCTCACCAGGGAGGCATCCTGACCAGATGCCTGAGCCACCTCAAGTGGCTCCTCTTGAAGTGGAGCAGTGGATCTACCCCGAGTACCTCCCGGATGAACAAGCTTCTCACCCTATCTTTAAGGGAGAGCCCAGACACCCTGCAGAGAAAACAAGCCCCCAATGCGGGAAAGAAATTGAAGCCAATGCGGAAGTGAAATAAAGTGCAGTTCCACCCTCATCCACTGGGGGCTGGTGTCAGAAGCGAGCAAATCCTCATTGACTCCCATGTTAAAAATACCAATTTCACAGCAGAAATAAACATGTTTACAGCCTGGTACCAAAACATGTTTTTGGTTTAAATGATCTAGTTTACACTCATGACAACTCTGAGGGGGGTGAATTTTTTTCTCACTCTTCTGTTTAAGTGTATTAAAAGCCTAATATTCTGTATAATTAATGAGCATCTGACACACGTGACCACAGAGCTAGCTCCGTGGAAAGGCCTCAGTAGAGCCTCGGTCTGGCCTGGAAACTGCTCCGGGATTTTGAGTCTCTGTGTTTGTGTATTCTTGTTTGGATATTTTTTGTGCAATTGTTGGACAAAATGACTTGCTGTGGCATTAATTGCACTAATAGAGCATCCAAGGAGTCTCCACTTCATTTTTTTCGGTAAGTAAAATTATATTTATGTATTTTAGGTCACTGCCGAGCTGAGCTTAGATTTTAACATGTACTGTTTAACCATGAAATTTAAATGTAATCGGGTAAAACCCAGTGCATTTAACATAATGCTGCACTTTAGAAAATGGGTTGAAATATAACATGTTGGTGGAGCTGGGTTCCGACTATCGGCTTGTGCAGCTCTCGGGAGACCGATGCTTTCCACCCGTTTCTCTCCTCCCCACAGCTCGGCGCATCTCTGCTCGCCGCGGCTCCTGTCTTCTGCGCGGGCTGCCGGCTTGTGGAGCTCTCCGGAGACCTCTGTGTTCCACCTGGTTTTACCAGGCGGGCAGCCCGGCGTATCTCTGACTCAGAAGCTCTGGTGTTGTGCAGTTAACTCTGGTTGAAGCTAGGTTGCTACCTCCGTTAGCTTAGTTCCCACCTCTGCGTTAGCTTTGGGTTAGCTTCAGGGTTAGCTTGTAGCTAGTTCGACCGGGTGTCGTCTGTTGATCCCAGCCTTACAACCCCACCCTCAGCTTCACCTCCCTTTTGTTGGAATTGTCTGGGCTTGACGGAACCTGTGACACACGGTCAAAATGGCGGTGGTGGCCACCTCCCATTTAGCTTCAAAAATGTGTTATTTGGGCCTATGGAAATGAATTGTCCAGTACAGTAGCGGTTTTAGGCACGGGCAGACAGGGCAGTTGCCCGGGGCGGCATTTTTTCATGACACAAAAGGGGCGCACAAGCGCTGAGTAAAAAAAAAAAAAAAAGGAAATCTGCGCCGCACCGAGGTTTTCTATTGTCTGACAGTGTCTGGATTGGAAACAGCAAGTTGGCGCCCCCTGCAGCTGCAGGCGCTCATGCTGACTGAGAACGTTCACGTGCACCATGTGTCTATGAAGAACAGGAAGGGGAGGGGTGCGGCGGGGGAATTCACCTCTGCGTCTTTCCCAAATGAAATGAGCGTGCAGGGGCTGAATCAACTGTATTAACGTGGCTAAAGTCAATCACATCTTAACGTTCTTCCATATTTCATTCATAATATCATAAACACAGGCCTATCATTCTTTCAGGTTTCTCTGAATTGTGTGAAATGGCCGAATAAAAAAAGGAAAAACAAAACGATTTTGTGGTCACACCCCATCAAGGTCAAATAGTTTAGTCCTGACTAAAGGAAACTTACTGAGTCAGGAGCCAAACAGAAGAGATGAACATAAAAAGGCTAAAACCACCAGGTGCCCCATTCAGGGAAAAAAAAAAAAAAAAAGAGGAGAAAGATAAAGGTATGTAGCTCTCATGATGCATGTTTTCAATTTTTTGAACCAGTTAACTGGGATTTTAACGGTTAAATGCGGTCAACTAATTGCTAACAGAGCTAATAGGGCTGAAATATTGAAACGAATATTCAAATGGTTCGAAAAAAGTCCTTGAATCGTTTTTTACTGATTCAAACTAGGATTTGTTAAATGCTCGCTGCAGCCCGTGGCCTGCCTGAACAACAACAAACACATGTTGATCATGTTCACATAATAATAAATAAAACAATTCTACAAGCAGAAGACAACACCCCAGTCACCACTAACTATCCTGTTTATTTATTGCAGATGGCTGCACTGATTATTTTACATGGTTTGTTCTGTAAAAGTTGGCATTTTTGGTAGTCTACAGTTTTTTATGTCAGTTTAAATTACAATTTCAGAGGCAATTCTAAAATATTATGGATCATGAGATCTATTGGAGATCTACCCCAACTTTTGGACTGCTCTGCCAGTCACTGTGGCTCAAGCTGAGAGGAGCTTTTCAAAACTTGATCAAGTCATACCTGAGGTCACCTATGTTTCAGGGGCGGCTCACTAATGGGCCATTCCCATCTGTACCGGGTCGGCCCGGGCCGGGTAGCGTAGGTTGTTTACATATCTGGGTGGCCTGGTATTTTTCCGGGCCAACCAAGGCTCATTCTCAGCCCTCTTCTCGAGGGGGTCTGCTTCAGGCCGACCAGGGCCAACACACCCACTGCTGACAGCAAATTCACACCTTCCATTAGAGCAAGCCTCTGATTGGTGGGTAGAATCAGCCCACATGGGCTTAAGACAAGGATGTGTGGAATCAACCGGGCCAGGCTGGGGCCGACTGGCGCTACCCGGCCCGGGCCGACCCGGTACAGATGGGAATGGCCCATAACCTGGCTCTGATTAGTATCAATCACTCAGTAGGGGAGCAGATTTCATATGATGACATTATTGATGACGTTGCATCAAGGTTAGGTTTTAATTTTAGTTTGTGTTTTCTATTCTAAGTGCAATGCTGTAGTGATTATCTTTAGTTTGTTACATGTGAAATATTTTTGCTATTTAGAATATTTATTATCTATTATGTTCATATATTCTTAATATTTAGTTATTGTTTGTTTTTGTATATTTGATTCTATATATTTTGATACAGTATATAATGTATAGTGCTTTACATTCTGACAACTTCATAGTAATTAATGTAAATATGTGCAACTTAGAAAAATGAATGTTCAATAGTCGTTGTAATAAGCATGCCTGTTTGTAGAAAACATGCGTGTGTTCGTGCAGGTGGGGTGGTGGTGGTGGGGCGGTTGGGGGGGGGGGGGGGGGCGCTCAAAGGGGGCCTCGCCCGGGGAGTAATTCGATGTAGAACCGCCACTGGTCCAGTATACTTGTTGATGAGAGAAAACTAATTTCAGCCGCTATCTGCGATCTCATTCTATTGGTCACTACCCAAAGCTGTTGAGTATTGGTGAAGGTAGGAGCGTAGATTGCCTTCCAGCTCAGCTCTCTCATCACCAGGACAGACCGGTAAAACACACGCATCACTGCAGACACAGCACCAATCTGCCTATCGATCTTTCCATCTTTCCCTCACTCATGAACAAGACCCCAAGATACTTCAACTCCTCCACTTGGAGCAGGACCTCATCCCTGACGTGGAGAAGGTATTCCACCCATCCACAAAAATACCCATTAGGACTCTTTCTTCAGCTTGACAGCATCCCTAATCTCCAGTGTCCACCAGCTGGTTTGGGTGTTGCCACCATGACAGGCACCAAAAACCCACAGTTCTGGTCGGCCGCCATGACGGTAAAGGCACGGAACGTGGCCCACTTGGACTCAGTGTCCCTCGCTTCCCCTGGAACGTTTTGTAATTTCTGTCTGAGGTGGGAATTGCAGCTCCTTCTGTCATGAGACCCTCCCAGACGTTACCAGTAGACCCTCACAATACGTTTGGGCCTGCCAGGTCTGACCGGCATCCTCCCCCACCATCAAAGCCAACTCACCATCAGGTAGTGGTCAGTTGACAGCTCTGCCCCCGTCATCATCTAAATATACAAGACATGCGGCCAAGATCATATGAAACGACAACAAAGGCGATCATCAAGCTGCGGCCAAAAGTATCCTGTGCCAAGAGCACATTTAGACACCGTTATGCCGGAACATGGTGTTCACAAACCATGAAGATCACAGAAGTCCAATGACAAAACACCATTCTGATTCAGATCAGGTGACCGTTCCTCCCCACCACACCTCTCCAGGTCTCACTGTCATTGCCCACGTGAGCGGTCCTCCGGCAGAACAAGGGAGTCACTGGAAGGAGCACTCTCCAGCACCCCCTCCAAGGTCTCCAAAAAGGGTGGGTAGTCTGACATGCAGGATGATTGAGACACTCCAACCCCTCCATCACTGTAAGGTTGCAACCCAGAGAGGCCAATCTAATTAAACAACGTAAATTTGTACTAAACTCTTTTAACTGGTAATTTACCAGTGAGACCTTTTAAATTGAACAGTCTGGTGCTTATGAAGTTCAGAGGGACTCACCCAATGTGATTGGTCCTAAGTGAGATCTCCAGCTCTCTGAGAACCTGTGTGGACTCCTGAATTCGTCTCCTAAACTGGAAAAACACACCTGAAGTGGGTCAGAGGCCAGGTATTGTTTAATAGCTGAGACCTTTATCGAATGGTGCCAACCTGACTAGTTAACTTTTATTTCAGACATTATGACACACCCATATCTAACAGAAGTTTAAACGGGATTGTCACCAAACAAAGCATTGATTAGCATCAGAGTAAAATCTGATCTTCACCATGGTACAGAGTTTGTCTCTCTTTAATGGACTTTTTTCTGAGAATTTAAACAAATTTTTCTGTAAAAACATCAAAAATATATGAATGAGATTTTTGGGGGGTGATAATCCTGCATTGAAATGCAAGATATGTGACTATGCTACAGGACGAGAGCACTACGGGATCATGTCCCCGACACCGCACATCTGTCTGTCTGGTTTTCAGACAAAACGAGCAGCCAGAGACTCCAAGAATGTGGATTAGCAGTGTTTGTTAACAGCAGATTGAGTAATCCAGGACATGCTGCTGTAAAATATTATTTCTGTACACTATTGACTGCTATAGCTTCAAGTTCTATCTACCAGGGGATTTCACCAGTGTTGTCTTGGTAGCAGTATGACCACTGCTCCACCAGAGACAATAAAACTTGTTACGGCCGTGCCGGTGGGAGGAACAAATCTATTTTATGAGCAAACAAATGTTGCTGTGCCGGTGCAACCAGCTGATTGGTGCTTCTTTCCTGCCGACGCCCCTCTGCTTGATTATTGGTCTGGCTGATCCGAGTCGGGTACAGGAGCTGGTCATAAAATTAAAGTATCACGTGAGTGGTCCAAAGTTATGTTCTCTGATGAAAGTAGATGTAACCTTTCTTTTGGAAATTTAGGACCCAGAGTCTAGAGGAAGAGAGGAGAGGCGCAGAACCCATGTTGCTTGAGGTTATCTAAACTGCGTGGACAACATCGACCACTCCAGAACAGTGAGGTGGTGTACCCCAACAACAATCCCTGGATTTTCAGTAATCTGAAGGAACTGCCTATCTTTTTAGAATCAATTTGATTCATGTTTTATTTTTCTTTTGGTGGAACAAGAAATCCCAAAAGTATTTTTATTAATATTCTCTGAACTGTGATGAACTTAAGTTATTTAAATGAGACAAACAAAACTAAAACATGCTCAACCATGGAGATCTAGTGAATACTTTGTTTTAGGTCAGGAATCATCTCACAGACAAGCCAGAGAAATGATTCTATCAAACAACTGTTTGACCTAAAACTAGATGTTGGTCTTGGGTTTACTAGCTGTTTACCTTACGGCTGTTTCCTCCATGCTCCAAGTAACCTCTCAGTTTCTCCAAATAAGCACATGGAGGGTTCCTGACCTGGAAACGTTCCTGAAGATGCAAAGAAAAACACACAGAGGCCCGTGGTTAGGTCTCAGAGCTGCAGAGGGAGGACGAGCCACGAGACAGGCCATAGAAAGAGTCAGAGGGCAGAGATGGAGGACAGGTCAGACATGTCAAAGGGTCAGAGGGTGGGTTCAACAAGTCAGAGAACAGACCAGGGAACAGGAGAGGACTGGTTGGAGGACGAGATAGAGGGCAGGATGAGTCATTTTGCAGTGACCACTGGTAAACCTACAGGTCTTTCTAGATGTGTCTGCTTCTGAAATGATGGGAATCATCCTGATTGTGTTGAATGGAGTCCCTTTAGGGGGACTGAAGAACCTCACGTGACCCTCACGTGACCCCAAAGTCACTAAGACCCCTGGATAAGATTAGACCAATAATTTCTCATATTTAAGGCTGAAATTACAAGAAGAAGTGGACTAATTCAGTCTGAATGTACCTGGTCACAAATCAGGTCCCACTTCTTCTCACTGTCATACTGAGAGAGGATCTTCACTTTGTCGGGAGGAAGGTTCATCGTGTTCTGGATGGAAGACACACGCAAAAAACAGATTGTTTAATATTTTAAACATCTAAATTTTAAAGATTAGTCTTGATTATTTCAGTCCTGAATTTTATTGATCTACTGAAGAAGAAGAAGAAGAAGAAGAAGAAGAAGAAGAAGAAGAAGAAGAAGAAGAAGAAGCAGTGGCGTGTCTAGATCTATTAAAATGGGGTGGCCCAGGTGAGGCACAACTTTGTGCATGGGTGGCACCAATGGTTATGCTTTTTTGTTTTACCCCCAAGCCTTTTGTAGACAATGAAAAGCCTATTTAAAGGTAAATTAGTGTGGTAGCACCTGGGGTGGCCACTCAGATTCCAAGGGTGGCATGTGCTACCCCAGGCCACTCCCTGGACACGCCCCTGAGAAGAAGAAGAAGAAGAAGAAGAAGAAGAAGAAGAGATATTTTCTATAGCACCTCTCAAGATAAAAATCACAAGGCGCTTAAGAAGAAAACATCAGTATAAGGACAAGGAGGAGGAGGAGAATGTTGGTACACCAGTGAATTGAACAAAAAAGAGATGTGGAAATGAATAAAAATGTGGAATGTTCTCTGAAAAAGAAAAGGTTGGATGCAGAAACAACAGTTGCTTCTTATACCTCAGAGTCTCCTTGAGTATGTTTTATTTATTTATTTTATTCAGACTTTAATCATAAACAGAGGGTTAGAATTACAACAACATAGTTATGTCTGCAGATACCAGCTTTGCTTTTGTTTGTCATCAAATTGTAACATAACTCTGCTGTCATGTACGTAACAGGACTTTTAAAAAGTGACTGAAGGGAGGGGTTCGGTTTGGAACTGGTTCTGGAAGTTTTGACCTTAACATCGCAGTAATATGAGCTGTGTGTGTGTGTGTGTGTGTGTGTGTGTGTGTGTGTGTGTGTGTGTGTGTGTGTGTGTGTGTGTGTGTGTGTGTGTGTGTGTGTGTGTTGCAGCTGATTCTGTAACTCAAAGGGAAGCCTAAAGAAAGGGGGTCAGCCCTTTGAATTTATTTTGTTGTTATTAACTTGCTTGAACGGCTTTTTCTAAGAACCTAGCCGGCTCTTTCATCTGGCTCTAGCCTATACACTCATCTCAATAACATTTCAGAGCCTACACCATGAAGCATGTTTCATGTCAGAGCTAAAACTGTCCGCACCATAAAACTATTACACATAAACCCTGACGTTTAAATGTTTACAGAGGTAGAAATATGAAACGTCTTCATTAAATAATCATGTTAGCGCCTGTCAGCTTTTGATCCTTTATGAAAAGACTGACTGATGGACTTGTTGAATAATTCAAAGTTCTGTTTTGCGTCCCGTTGTAGTTCCAGTAATGAGTTCTTGTGAGCCAGAGCCTGTGGGTAACCGTGTTGCCACAACACAGAAACACCAGAAACGATAAAGTTACACAACACCATAAAGTATCCAATTCCTCACCAGCACTTCAGTTTTCTGTTTGGATAACTTTGTTTCTCGTTCAAAGGTCAAAATGTCCTGGTGTGTCCCATTTACCAGTCTCTATCACACACACACACACACACACACACACACACACTGCTCTAGTTGTAAGAGAAGCTGGACTGAACAACTGGAGACTCCCAGTCAAAGACGGTCCAGTGACTGGACCATTTCGTCCATCTGAGACCGGAAAGGACAAAGGGAAGGCCACAGATTTGACTTTTAGTTTTGAAGAGTTTAAGCTTCAGCTCTTTGTGCTTCCTGCATTGATCTTTACATCATGGTCAAATAAACCCAGTTAACAATTTTGATCCGGGTTTGGAAACAGGAGCAGCGTGTTAAAAGAAAATCTAGCTGGTGGTTACACGAAGTCAAACGGCAACTAGGAAGCAAAGCAGTGTTTATCATCTAAGAAATTCAGAGGCACCATGAGGCATTCAGAGCTGTTGCTTCAGCCGTTCCCTATAAACCAACCAACACATTCTCATAAACAGAATCAAAAAGGAGATGCTGACGGAAACACGAAAACAAACATCTTTTCTGGTTTCAGTCTTTTCTTCTAAATTCAAGAAAAACTTGTTTTCTAAATCTATCAGATGGATCCATCAAACATGAATACTAGACTCTGACCTAATTTTACCTGGATTACTTGAGTATAAACTCAGAGTGTTGTGTTGGTGACCTGGAAGGTGTTTCAAGATTCCCTCTAGGAAAACAAACAATTTTAATACAAATTGCATCCCAAATAAGCCTGAAACAGTAAAACATGTATCTGCTATTATTTTAGACATAATAATATACTGAATGAAAAAAATTCAGTAGGTGCAGTTTGAAATCCTGATGATTTTAGTCTTTTATTGTGAAACTGCTCAAATTCGCTCAAACATCTGTGAACAGAATTTAGAAGCCAAGGACAGAAAAAGAAGCAATGATGTGTAGAAAGAACAGGTTAGATAGATGCATAGAAAAAAAAACCAATAAACCCCTGTCTGACTTTTTAAAATGACGCCTTTTTAAAGCTAGACAATAAATGTTTTCTGACTCAGGTGGTTCCTCCCAATGCCCAGTCCGCTTTTGGACCTATATGCAAACTAATATGTAAACCACTACGGAAAACAAGCTCGCTGCTCATTTAGTTACCGGAGCTCAACTCACTCTTAGTCTTTACAGGTGAAGCTTGTATAAAAACATCACAGCAGGAAAAAAAACACCATGCTTACAGAGTGATCCAGACTCATTTTATTAGCAAATGATGCAGATACACCTGAGGCTGCACACACACACACACACACCGTTTGCATATAGGGGTGAGTTGTGCTCAGTGAAGCTGTAGAGTGGGGCGGGGTCACATCTGTTGCAGATGTTAATCATAGGTATAGAACCTGCAGTTTCTATGCTCATATTTTAAAGAGGACTTACTTATACCTGTGTGTTTGGAATATTTCACTGATATGTGGTCAAATGTTTTCATTTTAAACAAATTAAAGCTCCTGATAGAAGTCAGTGGTTTGTATTTTTATTAGTAAACTACCGTTGCTGTCATTTTAAATAACAGTGACTAATATATTGTAGCTATAAATACATGGTGGAGATAAAAACAAAAACAAAATACATTATTGAAGTGGTTTTCTCACATTTGTCACAGAACCGCTACACTTCCCTGGGTCCTCCAATCATTACATGCTTGCTTGTTTAGCAGCAGAACACCACTGGTGTGAGAACTTCTCCGCTTAACAGGAGCAGACTGGGATGAAAATTCAGCCCTGCAATACCTCCATCTGAGCGGTCGTCCAGGGTGGGGTGGGGGGTGTCTGAGGCCCTGTCCACACGTAGCCGGGGATCTGCCAAAACGTAGGTATTTTTCTACGTTTTGGCCTGTCATCCACACGAAAACTGAGTTTTTTTCACACTAAAATGGATCTTTTGAAAAACTCCGGCCAAAGTGAAGATCTGCGTTTTCTCCGTTTTGGGTGTCTGCGTGTGGACAGACAAAACCGGAGTTTTAAGGTCTGCAACGTCACTTTCCGCGACAAAAAAATGCTGACATCACGTGTGCGACCTGTGTTTACACTAGTCGACAGCATGGATGCCCTCAGAGCTGCGCTCGCTTTATCAATTGTCCAAGCGCTTTTTGCTTGTTTGTGTTTGCAAGCAGAATTACTGCTCCTTGTGGAAGACCACAGACGAAGGACGAGGTTAAGAACGGGGGAAGTACTGCCACCTACAGGTCTGGCATGTCCTTAACAACGTATTTATCCGGGTACGTGTGGACAGTTTTTTTTTAAACGAGGTGGTGTGGATGCAAGTTTCTGGAGGGGCGGATATTCGTTTTTAATAAAACCCGGCTACGTGTGGACTAGGCCTAAGTGGCGACACTGGCCCGAAGCACCAGCCATTCGGGGATTTTCCAGAACTCACAGATGGACAGTCCGCCTCTGCCGCTCAATAACATCAGAGAAGGAGAAACAGCCAGCTGCCACTACTTCAACTTTACAGCAAACTACCAGAGTCCCAAAAAGAAAATCACCATTTGAAGTCACGGATAACAAAAGACGTTTGGACCTAACGGCGACTGGTGTTTAGCACTATCCCGTTGCCTCGAGCATTGCAGGTTTTTGCTTCTGGCAGAAGCATCTCAGAGTAGACGCCTTAGAGAAGGGGTGAGTGTTCCATGACTGTGTTTGCATTCAGCACCTAGCCTGTTTAGATTAGCCACAGCAGCTTTAAGTTCAGCAAACTAAGGTCGTGGTTACAGGTGGTTTGATTGCTGACCTGTCGAGAGTCTTCTGATAGAAATGAGGCTGGTTTTCTGTTTTATCCTGCTGAATTAACACCACCAGTGCTAAACATTTAAAAATGCAGTGCGTGACAACGTTGAGGGCAAAACTTGTTCTATTCTTTAAACCTTTCAAGAAAGTGGCGGTTGCAGAAACGTCTGACGAGGTGGTTCGGATATTATTTCAAACAGTTATCGATGAACAAAGAACTGAAACTCCATTTTTGGTTCTTTTTAAACACCGATAAAGTTTTTTTCTTTACCTTGTGGCTGAAAAAATCTTCAGATGTTTGCAGCTGCAAACAAAACTTTCAGCAAGGTAAAGAAAACCCTTATCTGTGTTTAAAAAAGAACCAAAGATGGAATTTGAAGACAAAGAACTGAAACCTTTTCCTGTGTTCCAGTGTTTGAGATTCCAACATTTCAGAGCGAGAAACTCTGTAACAGCTGCCCAGCCGAGGAAGCTCGGTGTTTCTCAGGGTGGAACTGTGAGCGTAAGGAATCTGTGTCAGGTCAGCTTATCCAAAAAGCTCAGAGGAATCACGCAGAACCAGAGAAGGAATGCAGGTGACAGCAGTCAGTCGTCTGGCTGCATATCCAACATAGCTCAGATCCACCACTTCCTTTTACTTTGATGTTTCTGTGGCCGTCTCCATGGAGACGTCTACTGCTCTAATTACTGAAGAGATGGCTGAATGGGGTCAGGGGTCTACAAAATGAGAAGAATAAATGTTGAACCTTCTCTCATCATAATGACACAATAACACAAGACCATCCTGAAGAAGTCGCGATCATGACTCGTGACTTGTTATCTCCAGCTGAACCCAGACCAGTTAAGGGTTTAGACTCCAGCAACTCCACATCTGTGTTGCGTACCTGACACACTGGTGAGCTTGTCGCGAGGACAGGCACATTGCTCACGTTTTCTGCATTCTTTGTTTTATTAAGCTAACTGTGCATCTGGATGATAAACAAAGATCCCTACATCCTGACTCACCAACGCAGCGTTGAAGCGCTCCTCCAGCTCCTCCTCAGGTGGCATCGGGATCTTTGGCCCTGTCGTTTGTTTCTGGGACAGTGTGGAATCTGGGCCGGATATCTTCCCCTCCTTGACATCCCTCACCTGGGATAGCTCCACACTTCCAGCTGTGTTCCCCATGAGTATACATCCAAAAACACACGTCCACTCACAAAATAAAAATCAAAAATCATCCAGTGTTAGCAGCTGCAGAGGTCCTGTGATAAAGAAACAAAACTGTCTACACATTCAAAGTTCTGTGTGACCTATGACCTCCCATTCTCTCCACACAGCCCTTACCCTGGCTCATGCTGAAGCAGCCTCTGAATGAGTCAGACCTCACAGAGATCCCTGAGCATTATGAAACCGTAGACAGAGGCAAGGGGATATCCTGATGGAGTGATCTGCTCAACAAGTGAGAGAAAAAAGTGGGAGGAGCTTAAAGTCTGTAGGTTAAGTCTAGGTTTAGAATGTACCAAAAAATGAATTAACCCAAGAAGAAAATCAAAATTGTCATTTATCTCCAGAGGAAACAGCTTATGATTCAGTAGCTGAGACTCAAAACTCCTCCTGGTCCTGTTTTTTTGGACTCTGCACCTCTTAGCTGCAAAGCCACAAAACAGAGAGAGCAGACAACTAGTCATGTCTGTCCTGCAGAGGGACAGAGGGAGACAGAAGGCAGCAGAGACTTCAACAGCACACTGGGTCCCAAAGCCTCTCTGTTCAGGCGCCACCTCCAGTTTGGAGCATGTCCAGTTCAAAGTTTGTGACTTAGTTTACCTCTGGTGAACCACAAGGGGGCGCTGAGAGGAGCATGTAGCATTTATGATTGTTGCCACATTTTATTAAATGATCAATGAGATGTGATTTCCAGATAAATATGGATTATTAACTTAACTGGTCTTTGAATATTTTTATTTAATATTACCTTAGGTTCTTTGGGCTATTCAGGGAACACACACTTCATTTAATTCAGACAGTCAAGGATATAGTTTATAAAAATGAATTTAATTATATCTTTCTAAACTAATGATTACACATGACAAAGCATGAATGAAATGATGGAGCTATATGTTTTGTAGCAAAAACTTGTTAAGTATCTGAGAGATCTTGTGATGTCTGTGCTGTAAAATCAGTCTGGCTGTCTGGTTTAACAATAGATTATTCATAAACGTATCCGACGCCAGTGTGCTGGTCTACGATACCCTTGTGTGATGGCAACTCTTGAGAGGTCCAGAGGAGAGGCAGCCAGATTGGTGATGTCACGGGATGGAGTGGCTCCTCGAATCTCAAAGAGTCGCAGCTCTCTTTGAATTCAGATATCACCGGCCATAAGATGCTACCAGGGTCTGCACGTTACACGTCTGAGGTGTTGTAGCGTCAGAAACAACTCACAATTAATATGAAGCGAAAATGTTAAAACAGATTGTTTAACCATTAATGATAATATGGTGACATTACTGTGTTCATATAGATTAACATTAAATTCAACAAATACTAATCTGTGTCACGTTGTGGGGATGTTTAGGACCCAAATATGCAGATACCCAGGATGACTCGAGGCAGAAGTTGGTAAAAGTAAAAATCCTTTTATTTAGGAAGAAAAAAAAAATAAATCCAAAATGGCAGCGAGCCAAAAGTCCAAAAGTCCTGGAGGACGGGACACCCAAAGCTCTCTTTAGAGCACCAACAACTGGAGACCAAAAGCTCATAAGAGCACAAAGACCAAGAGACAAAAAAGCTCAGACAGCGCACGAACGAACGCTGACAGAAATACAACAATGGACCGACACAAGATAGAGACAAGACAGGGCTTATATACACAGGGAGGAGTAATTAGGGAAAATGGCAGCAGGTGTGTGGGGTGAGGGCTGGAGGGAAGACAGGTGACAATAATTTATCTAAATGGGGAAAACAGGACCAAAGGAGGACAGGTAAACCTAAAACACAAAAACTAAACCTGAAGACTGAGGGAAGGACTCACACATACACTCGCTGACACACATAAACTCACACCTACATACACTGAACTGGGGAAGGGACATGCACACACACACACACACACACACACACACACACACACACACACACTGAACAGGGGCAGGACATGCACACACACACACACACACACACACACTGAGTTGGGGAGGACGCGCGCACACACACACACACATACACTCGTACACATAACACATTCAAAGACCTCAGTAAACTCGAGGCTGAGCTCAGATTGGACAGGTAATGAAAGACACGCCATCAAGGGAGCCATCTGCCTCGACAGCAGCAGATCCAAGGCAGCAGCCAAGACACCAATCCAGGGCGCCCTGGGAGGGAGGGTGGCAACCCCCACCACAATGTGGCAAGGTGGATAAACGAGGGCCCGGGCGGGATTCGATCCCCAGACTCCCGGGTGAGAGTCATACGCTCTAACCAGTCAGCCAAAGGGACATCCCCTTGGCCAAGTAGCCAGGGCGCATGATCAATCGGGACATTGTGACAGGACACTCACACTGTCACAACTACATGGGCACTACCCAAGGAGCGCCCCAGCCGCCGCCACCGACCACCGGTCCTGAGGCAGAGGGCTCCACAGAGGAAACACTGGAAGGTTTAAAAGACGTAACATGTAAAATCACAAGAGCTAATACGGATAGTAAAATATCCAATAAAATGTGATTATGTAAATAAAACAACATAAATGTGTAACACAACAGTAATTAAAATAAATAAATTGGTAAAACAAGCAATGTACTTAATATTAATCAGTTAAAAGCTAACCTAAATAGGTGGGTCTAGCCGGTTCTTAAAAACATGAATGTTCTCTGCGACCCTGAGATCCTCCGGCAGCCCGTTCCAGAGGCGAGGGCTGTAAGACGCCTCATCGTGAGTGTGAGTCCTGACTTTAGGAATGACAAGGAGATGACTGCCAGAGGAGTGCAGGGACCGCGAGGGTTCATATGGTAAAAGCAGTTGTGAGAGATACGATGGGCCAATACCATTAAGACACTTAAAAACCATTAGAAGTATCTTAAAATTGATCCTGAAACATACGGGGAGCCGATGCAGTGATTCTAAAGCCGGAGTGATGTGTTCCCGCTTCCTGGCCTTCGTCAGGACACGAGCTGCTGAGTTTTGTAAAAATTATAGACCTAAAGAACTCTTTTTGGGAAGACTAGAAAGCAGGGCATTGCAGTAGTCTATCCTACTGGAGATAAAAGCATGCATCAGCGTCCCCGTATTGCCCGAGAGAGAGAATAGGGCGGACACTGGTGATGTTCTTGAGATGATAAAGACCTATTTTAGTGATGTATTTAATGTGGGGGATAAAAGTCAGCTCAGAATCAAAAATGACACCCAGGTTATTCACTTGTGAAGATGGATTAAAAGACATTGATTGTAGTTTTGGTAAAAGCTTCACTCTCTCAGCCTCAGGACCGATGACTGAAACTTCAGTTTTGTCCTGGTTGAGCTGGAGAACGTTTTCTGCCATCCGGGATTTAATGTCTAAAATGCAGTTAAAAAGCACATCCATTGGATGTGTGTCATCAGGAGACAGAGATGTATAACTGTGTATCATCAGCGTATAACTGTGGAAATTCACTCAGTGTCTCCTGATGACGCCGCCAAGAGGGAGCATATAGAGGTTAAAAAGTACTGGGCCTAAAACTGAACCCTGGGGCACACCACATGTGATGCTGTGGACCCCAGAGAAACAGGTATCCAAACTCACCATAAAAGTCCTGTCTGTGAGGTAGGAAGTGAAATGTCTATGTACAGCACCAGAGAGGCTGATCTGTTTTAAGCGGGTTAAAAGAATAGTGTGGTCCACTGTATCAAAGGCAGCGCTTAGATCCAGTAGAACCAACACTGTCACCCTCCGGGCATCATAATTTATTCTAAAATCATTTGAAATCTTCAGAAGGGTCGTCTCGGTGCTGTGGTTTACCCTAAAACCAGACTGAAATTTCTGTCGAACATCATTAGTATTAATAAAATCATTAAGTTGATTTAACACAAGCTTTTCTAAAATTTTGCTTAAAAATGGCAAGTTGGACACTGGTCGGTGTCGATCGTAAGTAAGTAAATTTTATTTATATTAGCACTTATCACAGACATAGAATCACAAAGTGCTTCACATAGATCTAAACAAAATAAAACAGTCATAAAATCATAAATAGATTAACATCAGAAAATCAAAATGCTCTCAAAACAGAATTAGATTAACATCAGAAAAAATAAAGTCATAAAATCATAAATTTTCATAAACAGATGAAAGATTAAAATTTTGAGTTAAAAATAAGAAAATAAAAGGTTTAGGTAAAAGCAAAGGGTCTTTAGCTGTTTTTTAAAAGTGTCCAGACTGTCAATGCTGCGTAAGGATAAAGGAAGGTCATTCCAGAGTCCGGGGTGCAACAGTCTGGAAGGAGCGATCACCTCGACTTTTGTATCTGGTCTTTGGAAATTCTAGAAGGTTCTGGTGGGTGGACCCGAGGGCTCAGGTTGGAGCATAAAGCTTTAACAGTTCAGTAATGTAGGGAGGAGCTTGACCATGTAGAGCAGTGGTTCCCAAACTTATTAAACCATGCACCCCCTTCTATGTCCCGACCATGTTGACGCACCCCCCAGCCCCAGGGCATGGCTATATATATATATATATATATATATATATATATATATATATATATATATATATATATATGTATATATATATATATATATATATATATATATATATATATATATATATATATATATCAGACGTCACGCTAAACCAGGGGTCGGCAACCTGTTCCCATCAAAGAGCCATTATTACCCGTTTCCCACAGTAAAGAAAACACCGCAGCAGCTGCAGCGTTGTGGGCGGGGCCTACCCTCAGACAGCAGAGCTCTGCTCACAACAGGTGACAGCAGCCGGTACCGGTCGCCCATGTACGTCAAAGCTATCTTTCATAAGAAGATAATCAATAAAACGATTTATATAAAGTGGATCCAGAAGTCGTAGCCCGTCTCTGCCTACAATATTTTGATATTTTTCACCCTGTTGGTGGTTTTACTGAGCAGGTGCCACTTTTGTCATACGTTTCTTTTTAAAACATGTTTAAACTGTTCAGAATACAAATCCAGGCTCTGTCACGTTTGATTGTTGTAATTAAACTTTGTAGGTGGGGAAGGTCAGAAAAGGATCCGATCATTTTGTTTGTCCCTCATTTACAGCGACAGAGATAACGGCGCAGTGCGCCTGGCTCTGGTGTTAATCAAGTTAAATTTATAACAATTTTTACAAGAAAACAGAACAGTTAAAAGCAGGGTTGTGTTGTGTTGACCGGACAGTTCCCGTATTTGACCGTTTATTTTGATGGAGAAAGAATAGAAAGAATTACCCCGACGCATGCAGATGAACTGACACTTTATTCGTTTCGCAAATCGCAGATGTATCTAAATCACTCAAGAAAAGATTTCTTTCTGAACATCTGAGCTGGACACCGCTCTGCGCAGCTCACTGTCAGCGCGTACATAAGGTGCACAGCAAGCTGAAGATGTGGACAGGGGCTTGGAGCGCGTTGCAGAACCAGAGCGCATGTGGGAAGATTCCTTCCACTGAAGCGAGAGTTTTCCAAATCCGGTCTCTCAGAGAGACTTGTCACTTAGAAAATGTTCCCTGATG